CGAGGGGTGGTCAGTTGAGGATCCATCCAAACTTTCGATCGAAGAAGCACGCTTAGAGACAAGACACCTTTTGAAATGTCACCATGTTGCAACCGGCTTGCAGATCGGAAAAAAGGCAGCTGCGGTCATTTTGATGACGTTTTTCTTTGCTGCTGCTGTGTGAGTTGCTGCAAGTTGGTGAGCCTCCGACAATTGAGGCCACAAGGACCACATGGTTCGAGCAACCGTGCGGACAATAACCCTGCAGGTCAGGTTTGGCCGAGCTCTGAATCTGACAAAGAAACAAAAACAAGACTGTTGGTGTTGTGCTGTGTTCCTCTTCTGATGCTGAGTTTGTTTCTGGGCTGCTAGCTGCTACTCTTAACAACCTGGAGAATCCCGTGGTTTCATCCCATCAGTGCCTCCTTTTGTGGCTGCTGTGTTTGTGTTTGCGACGGGAATCTACAAATTGTAGACTCTGATAGACGTCAGACTTCCGTCAAGTTTCTACCTTGGTGTATTCGGCGTCCGCCTCTCAGCAATGACTCGCCCAAAGTGTTCGTGAATCAAGAACTGCTGCTTTTCTCCCACGCTTGGAAAACATGTAAGGAACATCTCGCCACTTGACCCTATGCAGGTCTGTTCGACTACAGCACTTTCGTTCCTCATCGTGAATACAGATGAACAGAGGGACATCTAATCTAGACATCCTTGCCTTCGAGAATCCTTCAAAAACGCCTTTGAAGTGCTGGTTTTGCGCTTACGATACCTAACATTGATGTTACCGAAGGCTTCTTCATGGAATGACGTCATCGAACGTGCCTCCTACCACCGGTCTACTTTTCGGCTTCCCAGTGACATTAACTCGGAGGTGTTTCATTTTTCAAAGTCCCCTTGCCATTACCTGCATTTATGCCCGGTTTTAGATGGTTTTAGTAGCAACGATTCGCCGTGAAAAGTGGGAAGGTAATCAGAAAGAATCCATACAACAGCCGATGAAAGCAATTCCAGCCTTCAATCAAGCAAACTGCCTTAGACCCAAAACTGAGTCGACCCAAATCAAGTAATCCTTCCATTCGCAGTTACTCGCGTGAAACCATCAACAGACTCAATTGACAAGCTACAGACCAACAGAAGTTCATCATCCTTTTCTCACTCCAATGCATTTCTTGCCGCATGTTTTGAGCAAGCCATTCTTGCAAGGGTGCGTCAACCTGTGCCCTTTCAAGCTAGGCCCCAGCACTAGTCCCTAGTCACCATTACTAACCCCTCCCCAAAAAAACTTTGCCTGGCATTAGTACGAAAATACGTTTGTTGTTAAGGGGGAGGCTTTCCACAAGAAGGGAATGGGTCGCCTGTAAGATGTCCATCCAACTACATCAAGCTCGTGCATAACGGGAATGCTTGGACTAGTTATACATATTATACATGTTGAGCAATAGAAACTTGAGTCTGGCTTAGGGGGTGGCAGGCTTCGGTTAAAATTGCCCTGGGGCAGTGTTTTTGATGCGCATTTGAGCGCATTCTCTCTTTTGTCTCCAATCTCTTCGTTGTGGGATTCCATTGGCTTTGGTTCTTGTGCATCCACTCAGACTTCTGGAGGCGAAGTGGTGGAATGCTGACATTGTCAGTTTTGCATCGCTTCTTTCGGAGCTTGGTGGCCGCAGGTCTACAGAATAGAAGATCAACCCATGCGACGCTTTGTGCTGCGCCATGCTGCAGAGTGTGGGCCCAAAGAACTGAATAAGTGCAGGTCGGATGCCGCAAGCATTGAAAGTGTTCTGCAACTTTTGGAGTTGCAATGCAAGGTCATACTTTAGCCAGTGGCAATCTTGGAGTGTGATTGCCAACAACCTTTGCCACTGTTTCGATAGGCCATTGAACCAACAGTTTCACTCCCACTGCCATTTCAGGCTGGCATACCACTTGCAAGATTTGTGGCTGGAAGCCTAGCAGCCACTGTAAGTATGTACGGACCAGCTAGACACAGAGTTTCTTAAGGCTCCGACTCAATGCAGCTGCTGCCAAAGTGACGAGTGAGGTGTGCTTTGCGAAGGGCATGTTCAAAGGGATGCGTAGGATACGTTCCAGCGGACGATCCCCATATGCCTGCCAAGTTCCGGCGCTGCCAGGAGGAACTCTCAGCAGTCCGTCGAGAGAATGAATTACAGCAGGACCTACGATTCTTGCCTGAAGTTCGCTATGGACAGCTGATTGCTTTGGGCCCTCAGGATCTTCAGATCTATTTATCCGATGTTTTTGAGTTGGGCATCGAAGAGCTGAATGAGGCCTCCTTAAATGAAGCGGCAGGGGCATGGAGCGGTGAGAAGAGTTTACTGCTCTAGCTGTGTTGGAGCTAATTGATAGAGCCCCGCTTTATTGTAGGGCAGTGGAATGCTTGACAGCGAGGGTTTGCCAGAGGTGCTGGCTGACCGCCTCCTGAATGGTGCTATTCTGCCTTGAGCTTAGAGAACGATCTCATTCGGAGCACAGGTTCAAAGCCTTTGATCATGCTTTCCCTGCAGGCCAGTGTTGCTGGCTGGAGTGTCTAACGCTTCACCTCAGCGCTCTGGAAACACAGCAACTTGGCCTGTGTTACTAGTAGCAAGAGTGCTACTAGTAGTAATGCCAGGAGCCCCTAGTAGCATCCTTGCTCCTAGTAGTAAGGCCAGGAGCCCCTAATAGCTTGTTTGTCAGAGTGGCAGTTTAGCAGTTTGTCTAATTTGCAGCCAAGGTGAGAACCTTGTCGTCACATGTGGCACTTTTTCTCATTCGTCAGGCTGGTCTGGTGTTACTTACTGCCAATTTTTTTGTTGACTAACAACTGTCGAACCATGTCGAAACGCCTGAGCTGGAAGGTTCTGGACACCTTCCATTGCCCGGTTCTTGTGGACCGCAAATGGGTAAAGAGCCAGCCACGAGAGGTTGTTTACTGTTTGCGTTCACACACCCTGGATTTGGCTTGTCATCAGAGTTCAGAGCACAAGGGCAGAAAGCGGTCAGGCTGCAAACCAGCCCAATGCAGTAAAAGTTCTTGCAACTCGGTAGTAGTTCATGATGGACAGCACAATCATGAACCCAGGACTTTGCAGCTTCTTAAAACTTCTTTGCCTGAATGCTTGCACTGTGCTCTGCCGTTTGCAATGGCAATGCACCTCAAAAGCGCTTGTCTAAGAGCAAGGACGGAGCTTCTGTCGGACAAACATTTACATCGCGAGACAAGAAGCCGGCGTGAAAAGGCATGTGCAATTTTTCTTTATATTTCTGGATCATGGTAGCCGTCTTCAAAGAGCCTCTCAATTGAAGGTTCGCAAATCGCCGTCTTCAAGGAAGCTACTTGGCAATCGTGCAGACCTCACGGCTTCGGAGTGAATGGATTGTGTTTCTATTTTTTTTGGGGATAGGCCGCTAGGCTAGAGGTAGAGGTAGGTGGTAGGGTAGTAGCTAGAGCTAGGGATAGGTAGCTAGTAGTAGCTAGGTAGCTACTAACTACTGGACGCAGGATAGCTCGCGCTCCGCCCTACGGCGGAAGCTTCCTTGAAGAAGCGCTTGCACTAATGATTTGGTTCCTAGATTGTTAGGGAAACTTAACTAGTAGCTCGTGTGATTGTGCTTGGGGCTTGGCTTTGGCCTGCCTCTCTCCCCCCCTCTCTCTCTCTCTCTGTCTGTCTGTCTGTCTGTTTGTCTCTGTCTCCCTGTGTTCCCGGGGTGTTTCTCAGGATTTCTCTTAGTACGAGATTTTAGTTTTAAAGCAGACGGTCTTTCCAATGAGAAATGATTCCAAATTTATCCTCAAAGATATAAGATAACTTGCAAGAAGTCCACTTGATACATGTTTAATCATTTTGATACAACGTGAGCATGGGGATGAACGGTTTCCGGACAAACGTTGCAAGGTTGAGGGGAGGTCTGGGTAAAGAGCAAATGGCAAACGACATCATAAGGTGTTGTCCAGTGTGGTGGGCACTCGAGTCTGAACCCTTCAGCTTTCTGATGGAAAGGCGACAAATTGGCTATAGTCAAATCCAGATGGTAGGCAGGAAACTGTTCAGCCCAGAGTT